TACCACTTAGGCCGGTGCTTCCCAAATATGGTTGTGCATCAGAAGCAAATAGGGAATTTAAAAAAATTTCTGGGCCCCAACCAATATATAATTTATAATCTCTGAAGGTAAGACCCAGGGAGATTGTAAATTTTTGTGTGTGAAGCTCCCCAGGCAATTCTGATGCTCAGAGAAGTCTAGTTCACTCCATATCTGGTACTCCCCTCTACAGGATTTTCCCAAATGGCTGTCTATCTCTCCTTGTATTCCTCCAGTGATGGGGGGCTCACTGTCTTTCAAGGCGATCCCTGCCATCCATCCTTAGCCAGTGTGCTTTGCCAGGAAGTTCTTCCCCTTTCCTCTGTAACTCCCCCTCACTGATCTTTAGGATCCCACAGGCCATACCTGCTTTTACCCTTCAGAGATTTGGAGGGTGTAACCTTGTCCCTTGAGTTCTAAGGAGTGGACACCCCCAGTTTCTTCAGCTGTTCCTCACAGGACACAACCTCCAAACTTTCCCCCATGGTGACCACTTCCTATCTGCCACTGGCCTCTCTCCCCTGCCACAGCTTTCCTATGCAGTCTGACAAATGCAGACACTTGCTTTGTCACAGACTCTGCCTTTACCGAGGCCTGTTAATGATTGACCAAATAATCATTAAGTCAATCCACCGTGGAGTGCCTTGCCAAGTGCCCGAGGAGTTTTAGGCTGTCCATGTGCTATGGCGGAGACAGAAGATGCTTTGCAAGGGGCTACTGGATTGCCAGGAAAACAGGAGCACAGATGTGGCAGGAAGCAAGACATAGTGCTTTTAGTAAAGAACTGAACTTTGCAGCAAGGACTGTGAGCATCCTCAGGATGACAAGGCAACCAAAGAGTTCATAGAGATGTTGCTTAAGGAAAGAACTAGGTGAAGAAGTCAGGGTCAGGCAAGATAATGCGGATAATACGTGGAGAGGAAGGGATTTAATACCGAGAACCGGGTGCTGACAGTGCTGACGGGCCAGGAGAGGAGGCCTTAGCTAGCCCTTCAGGACTAACTCCCAGAACAAGGTGGACATGGCCCACCAGCCTCATTACCATCCGAGGCCACCTCTGGAGTCAGTTAGGTCCAGACACACCCCTGTAGCCATGATTCAAAGAGCCGGAGCTGGAGTGGAGCTGCAGCCACAGACACCACCCCACACCCAGGAAGCAGGGGAAGGGACAAGGAACACTAATGCAGAAAATCCTCACGTTACTGCCACCACGCTAGTGATGTCCCAGAGGGGCAGGGCTCTACCCTCCACTTTCCACATCTGGTAGGGGGACTGCTAAACCGTAGCACTTGGTTCACAGCCAGAACTCTAGGTGCAAACAAGGCCGGGAAACTTAGCTCTGAGCTTCCCAACCACCCTGACCAGGAGGAAGAAGCAGTGGAGACGTTAGGGCGAGTGAGAGATGCGCATGCAGGATGTCGGGCTTAGCCCCCTCTACGACTGCCTGCGAGCTAGATGCCCACCAACAGTCCTCCCTACGGTGGAATACTAGGCCACCTTGGAGAGGATGACACCATCTTGTACTGAATTAGTGAAATGAGAAAAGGTTCATAAGAAGTTCCTAAGTTTAAAAAAAAAAGAAAGCAGGCGGAAAAATAGAAGTCACCATATGATTTTATTTCAACTAAAAGAGTTTTTGCAAAATGCAGGGGGAAAAAAGAATACCAGCAATATTAGTGCTGACTTTTGGGTGAAATGACAGAAGGTAATTTTTTACCTTCATCCTGTTCTGTTTCCCAAGCTTTCTACAGTGCGCATGTATTCTTTCTACTCTTAGGACAAAAAAAAAAAAAAA